ATTTTCAGTTAATTCATTCAATGACTACAAATTAAAAATTTAACATGAATCTTATGCTACCTGACCATTCTTATTCTTCAAAATGATTATCATTATCACCATCTGATATTTCTGGTAAATCAGGAGTTTTACATTGTGCTTGTTCTTCATAAAATAATTTAGGTGATGTACGTAATTCTGGTATTTCAAAATCAATGCACTCTGGATCTAAATTTAAAAAAGTCTAATAACAAAGTACACACAAAGCAAGCAAGAGACATATTAAAATTTATTACCTGACTCAAATCCTTCATCTATGTAAGGTATCTCCTCATTTCTCTTTTTCATAAGCAACTCTTTGAACTCATTTTCTATAGTTTTTGTATAAATATCTTCTGTAAAAATATTTTTTATACAAGTTGTAAATATATTGAAACTTTGCTATTTATTCTTTTCTGCTTTTTAAATGTTTTTATTCTATGGAATACATTATTATTTAAAATATCATACCAAATTCAAATTGTACATCATGATATGGTGCTAGTCTTTCTGGTTCTGGATATATTTTTTTAATCATCTTCTTTGGTGGCAATGGCTTTTTAAAAATACTTTCATAAGATGGTATTGATAATTTCACATCTTTTTTATTAAATATTTCTTTTAGAGATGCATCTTTTAGCGTGTTTGAAGATTCATTTAATTTCTATAAACATATTAAAGACATACTGTATCTTATTTACAGAATATTTTTAATGATATATACCTTCGATAGAAGATCTTTTCTGGGTGATACTGGACAGCCACTACTGTCTAACTGTGTTAGTTTTGGTTTTAAATTTTCCTGTTGTTTACTAAAGGAATTTTGCACAGCAGCAGGTACATTTAAATCAGAGTTAGATCTAATTGATAAACCTTTTGGTTTTGATTGTCCAACATTTTTTCTAGCAAGATTATTTATTTCAAGAGATGTTTTCGATCTTGACAAAGGCTTCAGAACCGAATCTATAGTATTTACATTATGATCGATATATATACATATTTTGAAAATTGAATTTATTTAATTAAAACAGTATTCATAAAAAAAAAGGGTCAAGGTTTGAATAATAACCTCCACAAGTTTCTACTTTTACCTTTGTCACGTTCTGATATTTCACCAAATAAATTGAATATGCTAGCCATTTATAAAAAGCTTTCAGAAAGGATTTTCAAAATAATTAAGAAATACTCTGTACACAAAATAGAATAATTTAACAATGCTATGGAAGTCGTCTCAAAATTCGTTCTTACTCTCATGAAAAACTTTCCATTTAATTTGAATAACAGTCGCTAACCACAACTAGGGAAAATTGGCTGCACTGATACTTTAAATTACTAAAGTCCTTGTGTATACAAATTACACAGAATCCTTTCTTTTATTATTATTGTGTATATCTATACGTATTTATTTATATATATAAATATGCTAACATTTTATTTTTAATACAGAGAT